GAGACTTTCCAGAACCAGGAGGAAATAGCATGCTGGTGGATTGACTGTCAGGAACTCCGTTGAGCAAAAGTAGCTGATTTGGTATGCGCGTTTTTTTTGAAGGGTAGCGAGAGAGAAGATACACTTCTATTTAACCACACTGCTTGAAAACCCAGAAGTGTGCTAAACTCTACTCCTACATGCCAGAATGATACTAGAGACTATAGTTATCGGTCATGATCACTAGATATGCAATCACATGATCACACTGGCTGAGCTCCTGCAGAAATAGGGAAGACCAGAACAGCAAGGAGCTTTAACATCAAACTAAAAGACTCTGCTGGACAGTTTTAAGTGCTTCTTTCAAAGCAATCGCAAGATTCTTATTTTTGTTGTGAATAGCATTCCTCATGGTAGAGGAGGGAAAAAGTACGTTCTCTCAACAAGATGTTGGGGATGTTTGGCTGTGCATGTGGCTAACAAAACAGGCACCACCATGTGATAACCAGGCTCAAAGTTTCAGTGATCAGCCCGTTACTGACCTGCAAAGAAAAAGCAAGTGATATAAATGTCAACCTCTTTTGGAAGTTATATAGCTTTAGAAACAGGTGTCACTCTACAAGGATTCAAAACGGCCACTCCTTATTTTTTCTTTTCAGAAGACTGTCACCTTAAGACACGACTGCAGTTGCGCATCTAACATCTGAGGTCAGTTATCTCTGCTTCCTGAGCCCCCCAGGCCTTCCCTCATGGCTGACCTCACTCACTTCCACAATCTGGTCCAAGGTCCTTTCCAGAAGATTCAGGGAACATCTGGAAGCAAAGCCCTTTGTGGTTCTGGTTCACATACTCACAGGAGATGATGCCTCCTCACAGGAGCAAGAGTAACAGCTTCATGAAGTAACCATATTTTCAAAAGTATTCACAGAGGGGAAATACACAGTAAAGATGACTATAGCTGAGAATGACGAAGAAAGCTACCAGCAAGGGACAGAGAGCACAAACAATCAGAGTAAATAGGTGTCCAACATTAACATGGCTCCCAAGCTTTCAGTTCAGGAAAGGTGGACCAAATCCTTCTCCAAGGTTATGACTCTGTTTAAGACAATCATGAGCCTTATCTTTTCTTTGCAGAAGGTAAACAGCCCATGGAAGACCAGCTCTTTGCTTTTCTATTGGTACGTGTTGAGGAACCAGTTACAAACCTCTGTCAGACTCTATGTAAAGGTGTTTTTTCTTGTAATGAGTTTCTTTGAACATATCAAGTTCATCCCCAGTTCCTGTAGCCAGGACCTGTTTTCAAGACCAACATTTCAAAAGACAGCTCCCCTTACTCTAGCACCCTATTACCATAGGTGAGATTCTGGGCTAACAAATGTCAATCTTCAGGCAATGCCATTGCTCAAACAAGTGATCTTATGACTTGGAAACCTGGAAATACAGGGGTTCTCTAATTTGGTATTTCCAAGAAAAACATGCCTTTATACAAGACACAAAAATTTAGCAGGGTCTCATCTCTCAAAAGATTTTATTTTTGCTGAAAATACTTAAGTGTACGAGACCTCAGCTAGCATTTTCCTCCTAAATCCTGACAAAGAATTGTATTAATACAATGCTGAGACAAGAAACAGCCTTTTCAGCTGAGGGGAGGGAGGAAGGAGTAAAGTAATTTCAATATTTTGAAATATTATAAACAAATAACATTCTAAGATACTACTAGGGAGTACTGTGCCAGGACCCTTCCCAGTCAGGTGTTACATGTTAAGCTAACATCCTCCTCACACACTCTTGACATCTGTAGTCCAAGACATTTTGTATTCAGACTTCACAACATAAATTGTGCTAACGTTGTATAAGCAAGTTATCAAAAGGTCACCCCAAACACAAGAAACACCCAGGTTATGAAGGACTCTGGCCAGCACGCGTGACATTCAATATTACACGGCAGAGTATCTGTCACATCTAATGACAGCAACTGTTTTAGCCATGCCGGGCTCGGTTTCTGTTTGCATATACTGAGGGAGGAAAAAAGGTCCTGTTCAGCTCTGGTCTGTGAGATAAAAAAAAAACAAACATAATACACATCAACACATACAAGTCAAGTTCCCCAACTAAGCAAACAGCAATACTCACCTTTTGATCTTCTGTGAACTCCGAATTGTTGTGCTGAGACTGTGCCTCTTTTTGTAGATGCCTTGCTAATCTGGATGGGGGGGGGGAAGAAAATTGTAGAGTGGGAACACAACACAAACCCGCGCACACCCCAGTCTCCAGAAGGTGCATCAGCCAAAAGGTCCACAGACTGCTCCTCCAAATAGTCTTTGGTTTGTTGTTTGGGTTTTTTTTTTAACAAAAATTTCTGTAACTATGGTAGGCCACACTTAAACCCAGAGGACGGACAAAGTACGCAAATACACTAAGCAGGAAAGACTACCTATATACTGTATCATGAAGGGAGACAGGTAAGAAGGTCTTTCTAGCCCATAGCCCCTTTTATAAGCACTGACCTTTTTTCCTCTCCCCATCCTCTTATTTTATAACCACCAACCACAACCCCTGTGAAGGTCCAATGTGCAACAAGGCCACATGCACTTCACAGGGGAGTCTGAGGCAAGTCGGACTGCCAGGAGGCGTGGGTGCGGGCACCCTCAGCGAGGACCACATGCTCTCCCAGTGCTGGAAGCCAGGCGCAGGGCAGCTTGGCCCAGGCCGTGGGGTGTAACGGCTTACATTTGCGCCTGCCAGCATCGCATGCAGAACAGAGACCCCATGCCATGTCATCACAAAGACAGGAGTACCAAGGGCTTTGGAAAGTAACAGTAAGCAGCAGCTCCAGAAAGCGAAAGGAAGCTAGAGAGGGAAGCCATGGGAAGAGTTACAGTTTCCGTCCAGGGAGGAAGGAGAACATTAAACAAGCAAAACCTCTGGGCAATCATTACCATTCCCTGTAAATAATTTTATTTTAAAAAGCAGAGAGGAAGGGGGTTGAGGGGAAACCCAGGGACAGCAGCAGTACTTGGGGCATCGCAACATGCTTCCGTCTAGAACCTCACAAGTTTGCATTGTTAAAGGGATTCAGCTTCTCACCACCATTGCAGCAGGGATTAGCCTGGTTTTGGGTAGGGGTGTGTGTGAGTGCGTTTTAAAACACATACACCAAGATGCATACACTGAAACAGATTACCGTCAAAGCCTGTGTCACAAACAAAAACCAGAGCTGAATTATTTCTTTGCTTTTCCTAAAAATAAGCTCTCTTAAAAGGACACAAAGATTGAGGCCACTGTTGTTTTTCACTAGCACCAGTGAAAACACAACCAAACAGGACAAGGTAAATGCAGAACTCAGTGGCGTTGTCTCCCTTCATAAAGGGGGAAAGACAAAAAGCGCAAACACCCTTGAACCCAAATGTACACTACTTCCCTACCACCCCACCGATGTGATATACAGGACATAGAGAAAGGGCATTTAAAAGCAATGATTTAAGAAAACACATCACCATAGCAGCAATATGCAACCCACAACAGGCAACATCACAGTATTGACATTTCTGCAAGCATCAGTAGCACAACTCTCTTTCCATTTGTCACTAATACAAAAAAAACCCGCCACCCTAATCCAAATAAATGCATCTGTCATCCCACTTGAAGCTTGTTCAAAGTTGGATCAGACCAAGTTCTGCAGATGGGGACATTCAACAGGGAAGGCGCTGCCGACAGCTCCGTAGGGCTTCCACGTGAGTAAGCGCCTGAATGAACAAGGGCCAATCTTTGCACCAAGCTTCCTGCACTTCCAGGAATAACACAAAGGCCTGAGCAGATATAGGTCCCCCTGGACACAGGAGGCAAATGGTTGTATTTTACATCAGCAGCCATCAGATCCATGGACTGAACTCACTTAAATTCAGGAAAATCTTTCTTGGTGTCAGCAAGCTTGCCATAACCAACTTCTCCCCAGCCTCCCCGTGTTATCAGTGCAGCCAACCTTAGCAGCATCTGGCCAACTACAGCAACACGCTTGTTCATCCCACCTCAGGTTACCATTTGAGAAGGTAACAGCACAAAGCCATGCCGTTATGTCTCTCCAGAGCTACAGGCAGGTATCTTGCCCCGTGCTTCTTATTTGCAACTCCTACCCTATATACTGAAATTGTTATTAATTTACCTGCTACATCTACAAGAAGCAGATAAGCATGCTGAAAAGGCTCTGCTCCTCCCTAGGAAATATGTCCCTGTAATCCTTTGATCTTCTCGCCCCTTTATTCTCCCTCCTGGAACCACAGAGTTCATCTACTGACAACTATTCTATTCAGCAGAAACCCACTGATAAGGCTTGTAACAGCAGCTTACAATACCACTACCCAGGAAGAGTTTTCTTACAAAGATATCACACTGCTCCAAAGTCAGAACAAAGCAAGGGTGCAGGGATCACCCCAGTTCTCATCAGACACAAGTGATACCAGGAGGAAGGGAGTAAAAGTTATACTTTGCCTCTCAAACTGAACATTTAGTGATCCTACTTCTCAATGAAGCAAGCTCAGAATGAGAAGCCTGAAGACTTTTCATTCTGAAGAACCATCATTACATGAAGTTGACTGCTGAGACTGCCAAGACACTTTAAAACATGAGGATCCCACTGGATTCCTCATAGACATCCACATAAGGGCAGTTATTCAAAATATCTTCTTTTACTTTCTGATGATTGTTTCCTCCTTCTAAGATACAGATCTGGAAGAGAAGTTCTTTTCATCCCTGTGCCAAGGTTTGTAGTAACAGCTTGCCCTGCTCTAAAGACCATCAGCAAACTGCAAATAACCAAACCAAAACTCACCTATCTGGTGAACAAATGAAATTATGAGATTATAGCATCTCATGACTACGCTGTAAGTGGCCAGCAGCCCAGTTACTCTGAATGGCAACTGAACTGGTAGCCACCCCAGTTACAACCCATAACTTGAATAGTCCTGAATAGCCCTGGAAGATCTCTGAGAGCATCTCTTCAGCTGACTTTCCCTTTGGGAACAAGCGCTAACCCTCTGAACTTCTTCCAGAAAATTTACAATAACAAACTTAGCCTCCCATACTCAGATCACAAGGAAAGAACTTTCATCTCCATGGTGAACAGAGTAGTAGAAGAGAGCATCTGACTGAAGCAACTAGGTGTGTTTCTAAGGATACCATCGACTGTGCCCTACAGTGCCAATACTCCTCTGATCCCAAAGGATACATGGATGGTGCATTCCCATCCAGCACAAGCTAATCTGACCAGGGCTGCCAGGTTCCCACCCTTCCACCCCAGTTTCATCAAGGGTGAAACACACAAGTCTACGATGGACGAATTTTCACCCTGATGGGTTGTTTTGGGTTTTTTTTGTTTGGGTAAGGCTGATATGTCGGCAGCCCATTTGCCTCGGCCAGGTCCCGCCTGCCCCACGAGCATGGTACCCGGGGGACCGGGAGATGGGATGGGGGCACTTCGGACCAACCGCCTGGGGGGCCCTGCGGTTCCACGCCAGCCGGCTGCCACCCTCGCAAAAGGACGGG